CTAAGAGTAAGCAGTGGTCACTGGAAGAAATAGGAGCTTTTAGTGCTAAAGAAAAAAGGGTTGGCTGGTTGGTAATAACTCTGTCCGACACAGCGTTACCTCTTGTGGGAGAGTGACAGAGATCTGTCATATCCAATGATAAAAGTGGATAAGTGCTATTATGGTTGAAGTCACCAACGATTATGTGCAGGTTAACATCTAAAAGTGGGGCAATAAAAGGTATGAACGAGTCGAAAAATGACATACGATCAGACCGTGTACAGGAGGGGGCTATATACAAATTAGTCAAAATTGTGTGAGTAAAACGGGAAAATCTAGGGTGACACTGTATAGTTAGGCACTCAATACCTTTTNCCTTATTCAACCAGGATTCTTGAACACAGACCGCACACGTGTTCGTATGAATTCTCGATCGGTGGACACTTGTTAAATCCGAAGTCTTTTTGATTGTTATACCGAGTCGCTCTAATCATTGACTTATCGATCATCAAATGAATTACGGAATCACAATATTTCAGTCCATTGATCGCCCCTTCGGACTCCTTGTCTGATTCTCAGTTGTTTTGAAAGTTTGTTGTATCGATGACAGTCATCATGCTTATATAACTGCGAGTAACTACGAGTACCTGAGACCCACTATCATACCAAGTATTTGCCGGTTATAGTAGTTCAGTAAAATACGTATGGATTCAGAAATGATAGTTGTGGTAAAGTAATAAATATGCTGTGTTGGGAACACACGAGATACTGACCAACGTGGAGAGTTTTCAAACAATTCCATAAACTTACACCCACACTACCATTTTTCCATCCGGAACGTTTCACTGAGTCTCAAGCGATGGATTGACAAAATGTAAAATTTGTGTTCCGTACACAGTACTTAATTGACTATCATAAACTAGGATAACGATGCCGTATAAGAAGAATGAGAGCTTCCTTTAGAATTCAGTTGAAGGCGATAAACGACGAGTATCCTCTTCTGTTGTTGGTGTTGGTGAGTTGTCCCAGCTGGAACTGTTGTTCGCAGACGTTTTGTAGCCTGCGTTTGTACTCTGCGAACAAAGCAACTCCCAACTCGGAGGACTCACCAACATTAGCATCCCTCATCCCCAGCTACATTCATTCCGCATCATTTTCTCTGTGGTCCAATGGTCTTATCATTCAGTCGTCGATGGGTAACTCTAATCTGTTTGTGTTGCGTGTATCTCTCGATTGCGAGTGACGATTATGGTTGAGTGTGCCACATTAGTGCCATTAATCCAGCTCGTGTGTATTGTCCTGTATCTCTGATCGACTTCTAGTCGTATCCTGACTTGTATAGTTCCTGCGATGAACTTCATCCTGAGTTCTTTTATTAACGTTATATCTACTTACATCAACACTCCCTGAGAAGCTCAATCAATATGTTGTCTAATATCTCACANAGCCAAGATTTGTTTTCCTTGTCCTGAAATCTGTCAAAAAAGTAAGATCTGCTTACTCGTGCGCCGCTCTGCTATTCTCTATATCACTTTCGGGGTTTTTAGATGTAAAATCATTGTGTTCGACTACAACAGTTTATTTGTTAAACTATTCACGGCTTAATGAGCGGTTAATAAATAAAATTATTCCAAAAGAACTCGTGAAAATGCGCATTTCTGATCATTTTTCCGAGATCCATTGTGGACTGTTCGTCAATAGAAACAGCGTAGAGGGCGATATTTGGCGGAGCTGGTGGATCGGGCACATGAAATGGCCTTTAATCTGTTTGCATTTCAGAAGATCAGCAGACTAGTTTATTTAATGACGTACAGGGTTCATATGCTCGAACCCAACCAAATAGTTTGATTGTTTTACAGTCAATCACTTGACTTATTTCGAGAGACTATAGCAATGTCCGGGTTTCCCATTTCACCCGGAGCTGTTCCTCACCTGCGTCCATACGTGTGCCTCGGTTTGCAGATGCACTCTGACCCTAATGTGGGGACAAAACATGATACTCACACAGTTCGATTCAGAATATGGAGACAGGCATATTGACCAAGGCGAATGGTTTATCGCCACACACACTAAACGTGTGTGGATCGTTCACGGGCATGTGTGTTTGCACGCGCCGAGATCATAGCCATTCACGCGGTGTATATCAGTACGGACTCATGCTTTACCAAATGTTTACTTAGGTGTTACATTTTATTGAGCCTCATCGGATGCACTCGGTGTAATTCTTTCTTAGGAAAAAACCTTTAATTAAGCGTCTTGGTTTAAGAGGGTGTGTTNTTTGGGGGGGGGGGGCTGGCTGGGGCTGGTGGGGGATAACAGATGAAATGTGGTATGGTTTAAAGCAGACTTGTTGATTTGGATAAACATCGCACGATTTCATGACATATTATTTTGTTCGATTCAATTGTTATTGATGTGAGAAACCAACTCCAGCTCTTGTGTTGTGCAGACTATAGGGGAAATGGACAGGAACCGTTTGACAATGTGTAACTTACGAACGATTTTTTCCTCGCTTCGAAAAACAACAAACTTTATGTCATACAGTCAGTCCGTGACAAGACAGATAAACATTGTGAACTTAACGGGTTGGCAGAAAAACCCACTGTATTTACTTATCACCATTTCCGGTCACCTGGTGGAAAATAAGATGAAACCATCTGGCAAACGATCGTTTGCAGTGCTTTTTTTCAAAAATTCATCGGTCCTATCATTAGTTCACGTGTCTTTTCCCATCAGTGGAAGAGGGTATAACCTTTATGGCTGAGTAAGCTACACGTGCATATATCCCAGTGGGCGTTTCCAAGATAAATGAACGCGCATTCATTTAGACCGATCGATAAATATATTTACGCATTTCTCGGTATCCATGAGAGTTAAACTGATGGCCTGCTAGATGAATGAGTCAGAGTATCACCGTAGCTTGCAATCGGAGACCAAAAAAAATGACATCCATCATTAGTCGGTTGCCTGTCTTTTTTATACAAATCAATTGTGTTCTGTTTGGCGTCATTTAGGCCGAAACCGATCGGTTGCTGAATGAGAATAAGGGCTTTCCCGTTGTACGCGGAAAACTGTTACGGGACCGCAGATTGAATATGTACACCCAAGAGCTATTGTTTTGGATACATTGAAAACTTTTACCCATATAACATCATCAAAATTTCAAATTGCAGGTATATTATGAGCAAACGTTACTCAAAATATCTTGAGTTCCTGTCAGTAAATAAAAGAATAACCTAACTCAGATAACTTTCGAAACTGCCAATTGATCAAATTTTTAATTGGAAAAATACCACCAGCCCCGGGGCAGTTCAAGTCACATGTGAACACTATGCTTATGCACAGAACACGATCAACCCGCTGACCTAGGAGACCATACGGGATGCATTGATATTTTCGCATTTGTAACACCCAGATAACTTACAGGGACACATGGAATACACCAATTAGCATGTAAGCCTTTTGCCTTGGTTTTTTTACCCTGGAATCCACCAGCTGTTTTCACCATCCAAACATCAGTGTGATCTTCGGATCATATTCCAAACAACATCATCTAATATTAACTCAATCTTGGAGTTGATCTGATGAATTTCGACTCAATACTACACCTAGAATACTCGGTTCCAATATTGTTCGTTACTCTAAGTCATATAAATTAAGTCTCTGATTTTCATAACTGAACAGTAAAATTCTTTGATTACGGGGTTCACCGATTCTAATATTCGCATTACGAAATGCATAAATGAATGTATCCAGATGAACACTGCATTTCGTGATGAGAAGTTAAAACCCTAAAGCATTTTGTCTGTTCTCCTGGGCACGGATACTAAACTGTGGATTACACAGTCTTATTCGGAACTGGTTTATGGCGATCTTTGCCTTGTCGTCCAACACTCACCTGAGGGGGCACTCATTCGAATTATTGCTCCAAAAATGCCGACTACAATGCCGGGGTCCTTCATTCGCCCTCAGAGTATGCACTGCTTGGAATTCTCTACCACCACACGTTGTTTCTGCGCTCACAATTGATTCCTTCAGGATGAAGGTTTGACAAGTCTTTCAACATCCGTAGCAGTGCACGAAACAAGGATGAATTGTAACATTCGTCTAACTTCTATGAAGCATGAATCGATTAATCTGTACTAAACCCTATGGGACTAGAAAAGTAACCGCTTGTAAGTAGTTCCCATAATAAAACTTTAACTTTGACTTTGATCAAGTCCAACTTCATTTCGAGCATCATTTGTCTGACCTGATTTTCAACTTTTATTTTCAACTTTTTTTGATTACAGTTTCGGTGCGGCCAACGGTGTCCTGCGTGTCGATGCTGGTCGACGCTGTTCCACTGGGGATGGGCGATTTTTTTTCCGATGCAGTCCACCCAACGGACAACCGGTGGACATGCTCGTTACGCAGATACGTCAACTTGCACTGGAAGCCAAGCAACGACTGAAACGAACTCAACTGGCCTCGAGCAATTTGGAACTGTCACAGTCTCGGAACACATTGACGCACACCCCAGACACCCCGACCGGGGAAGTAGGAAACACGGACACGGAAAAAGAGTTCCAATCCGCTGGCACACTTCCTCGAGCCCGTTCAAAACGCACCAAACCGGCGCTACATCCACCAATTGACCGTTCGACCAAAGTGAATGGATTTGGTGAACTATCCGCACCGAAAGCCACTCCAGAACCTTCCGATGATCCGGATGCACCGAAATCCGATCCTTGTCCGGATGAATGCGAGGTTGTCCGAGCCACACCAGTGAAAGCGGTAAGTTTTATTATCATGCTTTTACGCGGGTGGTTGTTTGAATCTACATTTTACATGACTGTTTTATACTTTTGTGTGAGTGGTTGGTCTTTTATTAAATGTAGTGCTTAAAAGACAAGAACTCAGTGCTCCAATCTCACGAAATTTCACTATTGAATTTTCGTCTATGAAATGAATAGCGAGAATAATATCACATCTACTTTTCTGCCCAGTCCTCGATTTATATATTATCAAATTAGACATGCTATGCAGACGGTAACACGATCTCTTAACCGTAATAGATATCGATCTCGTTGGATTGTTTGCGTGGCTACAGAGAGATTTTCGTGGTCTGACATTCACTAATGAATGATTACTGATTCTAGTCCGGTTCAGGACAGCATGACAGATTGTGTCAATTTTGGCGTGATAGTTGTATGTTATCAAAAAGTCTGCTTTACTGATTGATTAGAACTGACCATCGTCCAGACTTCACCTTCGCACACATTCCTCAGCTCTTCCATTCAACTATACTCTCGGAAGCACTAAACGGGAGTTTCACCCTTATTGGAGTTCATCAGAAGTGCATACCCACTGACTCACACCACTAGTCACAAATATCTGTGAGTTAAATGCGAATTATTAATGCAGTCTATTAAGTTTGTGGCAAGTCAGCTAGTAACCTGCATGTATGACCTGATTTGGTGAGACGCTTTCGATTGGAGTTAACAGGTAGTCAACTTTGTTGCCCTTCTTTTCTGTGGGGCCAACAATGAATTAACTGATAATCACTAAGGGCAACGCCTGAACAAACAATTCGTTTCAGCCCTACTACTACCTGGTTGACACGGTGGTAACACACATATGCCTTTTTTTCAATGGGTCCGGAGTTCAAATCCCGAATGAGAAGGTAGATGTGCACTACGGACGAGCTCTAATAAGGTTGAAACTCGAGTTCAGTGCTTTGGAGTGTATAGTTGAATTGAAGGGCGAAGGAATGTGCGCGAAGCTGAAGTCTGAAGAACTATCAGTTTTAATCACTCAATATTAATTATTCCACACCACTACGCACAAGTAAATGTGAAGGCTGATTTATTGCTGAATCGGGGAGACAGTTTTGAAAATAATAATAATAATACATAACTGGAAGTTCCGCAATGGTTGGTCATGCTAAGTCATGGAACAGAGTACCATTAAAAGGAATCACTGACACAAAAAACCGGATGATTTGGTTTCACTCGGAAACAGTAGGTGACCAAAGATGAATCTATGATATGTACATATTGAAAATCTCTAGGTTTTTATTTCACAGCAATGATTATCACCATAGTGTTGTTTATTCTAATATTGTGACCTTTCTGTGTTCAGTTTTCAGCCTCTTCTCAGCACAGAGTACAACAAGTGTGAACATAAAATTCTGTCTGTTAGCATTTTTGTTCTCCCCCTATGACATTTTCGGCTTTTCGCCAATAACGTGTTTTTCTTTCTGGGTGTAGTTTCGGTTTGTAATGGTGCATTGTGGTGCTATTGTGGTTATTAAACAAGCGGAGCGAGACGGTTTCAGGAATTCCGAAAATTCAGCTTGTTAATTTCACTGCAAATTAGTCTAAACTTTATTTGCCTGTTTCTAACAAACGCTTCAAAAATTGTACAAATTTACTTTATCTGATCCTTCTCAATTCAAGGGTGAACGCATTCTGTCACTTGCAACTGTCGTACGGTAGGTAGGATGTGGTTGCTTGGTCTCAGACTCAAGAATGAGTCGTACGGGGAACAAAATCAATACTTTTATGACTCCTATCCGACAGGCAGCGCAAGACTTAGTTGCAAAAAATAATTTTACCACACATAGAAATAAAATTTGGACCAATTTTAATGTAAAGCACATCGATCCGGATAGCAGATAGCGTGTGGAAAGTTGTCTACAAAATACCAGGTTGATCACATTGGCTATAAAACGAGGCGCATAAAAAGCGAGTGAGAACAGAGCGTGGAGCGATTTGATTTCTCTCTGTAAGCCGATAACACTGGAGAAAATACGGCAGGCTGCTGGACGAAACTAAGACCGACTGGTTAGAAAATTAATGTGCGTTTGTTCAAACCACGGTAAACACGGATAACGAGTGAGTGCAATTCAGTGCATTCTAAGTAACCGGGGATCAGTGGGACCATTGAAAGAGGAAATCTATTCTGCTTCGTGATTTTTCGGAGGCCATTTGTGTGTTGCATGTGCACCGACAAGACGAAGTGAATAACCTAAGAAACGGATTGTCCTTTCGATACGATGAAATAGTCTGTACGAGTCAGAAAGCTTTTGCTAGGCAGTCGTCACTAGTTGATTTCGAAGAGGAAACTCTAGGTAAATGTAAATAAAGTATTTGAATACAGGTATACTTGGGTTATATAAAAAATGTTAAAAAGTGTTCAACAGTGCCATATGTAATGGAAACGCATTGAAAGCACTGTTAAGTCGTTTCAGTGGTATCAGGAATCAATAGCAGTTTGCAGCTCTTCAGTCCTTGATAAATCTAACACAGCTGCGTATGGTTTTAAACTCTAAAACAACACTAGGCTACTCTATTCCAAATCATCACAAGTTGAGGAAAGTACATTCACCCATCTGCCATAGGTTGTTATGTATGGAAAATGAAATATGGCTAGACACCGTGACTCACCGCGACTAAGTTATTGAGTACATGTATCATTCAGATTACTGGAGGAGTGGGACTTTTCTTTTTACAATCATACCAATTACTTGGTTTGCACCGCTAATGTTAGGGATGAAACGATTGAATTTCGTCGGTGAATGTAATGCAATCATACTAGCGTGAACAACTTCCGAAAATGGTAACATGTGAGTGGAATAAAGCTGCCAATTGTATTCGAGGTTTGTATCTTATGGGTGTATTACGAAGGTGCGTTGCGCTTGCCCCCCCCCCCGCACTCTGATCCCTATGGACACTGAGAAGTTCATGCCGACCTTCAGGTGATAGAAAGCAGCCAGCATAAAAGCGTAGACCTGAGAAACGTAAGTACGATTTATTCCTCTTATAACCTGATTCTCATGCATCATATTAATTCAAAATTAAGTGAGATCAAGTTTCAAGATGGGTAACAATGTGAAACGAAACAATTTTGACCTTTCAGTGAGATGAGGGGAGGGAAATTTGTGACTAAGTACATCTTGTTCCGCCCCACCTCTCCTTTAAATGTGTGTGGTATTTGGGAGATCAATCCAGGGTGGAATTCCGAACGGTCTAATTGCATGAGTATATTCATGGGGATAACCAACGGCGCCGTGGACCAGCCTTTCATTACACATGTGAGGTGACCAAGTCACAAGCAATGAATATGTCACCTCGGGCGGTGATGAAAAGTTTGCAAACCAACAACCAAGTTCAGCGAAAATGCGACATGGAATTCAGTGTGCCCGAGCTGGGAAAACCTATGAAGGCTTGAGCATTGTATGCATTTGTGAGGCAATTGAAGGCTGACGGAAATCGCAGTAAGACAGAAAATTGAAGGTATCCTGTAAAATAAATTTGGAATGCGCCCTTCACAGTTACCTGTTGTTGTCAAAATGATACACAATACTACTGTTTGTACTCTCAGACCGTGAAAAGGAAAATCATTTTTTAATTATTTGTGTCATGTGTGCAGCTAATACGATCCACCGTTTTTACGAACCAAACATATGGCCTTCTGAACGGTGTGCTGCTGTAATTTGTAAAAGCTAATTAGTTGAGTCGAAAATAAGAGCAGTGAATAAAAAATCACATTTAAACCCTGACAGTTTTCTTGTCACAATATTGGAGCCAATAAAGTCCTGATGGGGAGGGGGGGGTGATGCGGCGAGGTGGGAATGATATAGTTAGTGGTATTAATGTCTGATGGAGATGGATGAATAGGATGGAAGCACGATTTGGCTCCACAACGTGAGCACGAACCTCTGAGCAAATAATTGAATCAAATCCAGTGAATTTTGCGTTCAGGATGAATGCCTATGACGCCTAAATTTGCCCGGAATGAAATCAGTGAGAACAGCACATTGTCCGGCTCCTTGATGCGACTGAGTGAGTAAACGCAATATGTGCGAAAACATTACTGTTCGCAAAATGCAGAATATTATATCAAACTATTTGGGACTTTATTAACGTTAGACATAACTCAAATGACAGCATTTTACTGCTGGTACCTGCAGAAAATCATTAGTGTCACAAACATGGGAAACAAATAATAGAATACCTAACACTGATGATGCCTATGGGTACTTGGCCTTGACAATCAAAGTACATGAATCGGTGACATATTCCACACTACTAATTGAGTTCCCAAAGACATGCATGCAGTAGGACCGAAGTCGATCCGTTTTAAAATTGTATTGGTTGTTAAAACATTAGTAAATACTTTCGCACATTGTTTCTTCGAATCTGGATGAAAATTTGATCGTTTACCTTCACTTTGTACCAAACGACCAATCTTTCCAAATAATCACACGGAACGATCAGGTTGTCAAACCAGAGGTTATCTACCAAAGCAGACATGGAGTAAAGTTGCGATATTGGAACCCAGATACAGACAATAACTAGAACGATGAGGGTAGCTGTACATTCGGTGTTTGTGAATTTACGAGTTGTGAAGTATTTGGCGGTAGCGTAAACTGGAAACCGCAGAACAATAACCACCACTTCTGTCGTTCATGCACCGTTAGAAAAGGACCGTGAAAGGTCACGTGGATGATTCTTTCCATTTTCATCCCGACATGCCCACAGAAAACCAATCACATAACCGGGGTGCGTTTGCGCGTGCCTCAACAATCCGTCTCAAATTTCTCATCGATCCACTCGTTTTCTTCATGCTCTCTGTGCAATAAGCTCTGCGTTGGGCTTGCATAAACACAAACACACTCCGGCATACACAGAAACACAAACAATAAACGTCCATGGTTTTTTTTCCAGTTCCGTTGAATGTGTGCATGAGATTGAGATAGAGCTGACGAGAATGGGTGTGCTTTGTATATG